AGAGAGAGAGAGAGAGAGAGAGAGAGAGAGAGAGAGAGAGAGAGAGAGAGAAAGAGAGAGAGAAAATATAGTGCATCTGCCAGTAGGATTGCAAGTGCACGTCTGTTTGAGTTAAATAACACATCTGGTGAGCGTCAAAGGCCTTACTGTCACAGACGATGGCTTCAAAATGTTCTAATAAATCACTCACTCTTCTTGTCCTCCTCATCCAGCTCCTTGTCCTTCCCCTCGGCGTTCTCCCCGGAGATGGAGGCGCGGCGGGAGGGAGGCTGAGAAAGTGACGTCACTGACCCTGACCTTGACTGCGACCTTGAGGAAGCCTGGGAGAGACAAGCCTCTGCATGCTGCGCCATCAGCTCTCGCTGGTCTTTCAAAGGGAGGCCCTGTGGTTGTTTTTTGTTTTGTTTTAGTAAGTGTTTTAATTCACTTGTAACACAATAAGGTCATAGAAGTGCTGACGGTTAGGTGGGTTTTTTTTTTCATAAGAGTTATACGGCACTTGCAACACAATAAAGTCAAATAAGAGCCAAATATTAGAGGTGTTATTTATTTTTTTGGGTGTAAGAGTTTTACGACACTTCCAACAGAATAAAGTAATATAAGTGTCGAAGAATAGATGTGTTTTAGTTTTAGTAACAGGGAAAGATCAGGGAAACGTAGCTTTTCTGAGAGCATCCGAACAAAAGAATGAATGGAAAATCATGATCGCCGATGCCTGTCGCAGATCTGGCACTGGATGATGATGATGAAGAGTTTTACTGCACTTGCAACACAATAAGGTCAAATAAGTTTCAAAGACTAGAGTTGTTACAAGAGAGGAACAAGCACAAAAAAGGGGGAGAGATAAGGACGATAGATGTTTGATAGGAAAGAAGAAGCAAACCACATCAGAGCACCCGGCATCCACCCACATGTCCTGTGGGTAACACGTGGGGGTTTGAATGATAAATATGGTTTTCTTGGCCGAGCCACTGCTGGATTCTGGCGAACCATTTATGCAATTCCTACACAGACACAAGAAGAGACGGGGTCCGTAACTCAGTCATCAGAGAAATAGTGAGTAAAACACCAGTGCAACAGCGCATTGAAAAGCGAAGAATCAATAAATGGACATCTAACTTGCATGCATATCAATCAATCTGTAGTAAAAGCCTACAATGCAAGAATACCTGGCCACAGACTGAAAGGGCGACCCAGGAAAAGGTGGATTTAGAGGGAAACAAAGGGGGAGGGGGTTCTAGTTTGTCAAGACCCAGTGTCTTGAGCCCTCCGCGATATCTTCTGGTATAAATGGCAGATAAGAACAGCTAGAACAGTAAGTTTCTTGGTTCACTAACGGCTGGTCTAAGAGAGTCACACCAGACTGTGTTTTTTGTGTGTGTGTTTTGTTTGTCATTATGTTTATTTCCCTTGTACTTGCTTTCTTTTAAAGTGAATAGCATAACTATCTTTACGTTTTCACCATCACCATACTCTTTCCCATCACGGCAAACAACAACACAATCAATACAGATCAACTCACAGCCAATCACATGCCATTAATAATTTTAACAAGAACAACTGGTCGTTTTTAAGGACTAGACGGCCAACCCAGATTTCGGGGGTTTCGAGAAATATTGACCTACACCAAAAGTTGGTATTGTCCTACCTATAGGAGAAGTTTGGTTTCATTGGTGTGTATATTTGTTTGTTTATAGAGACAAATCTCATTGTCTTTTAAAGAAACTAAATAAGGAGCAAGAACTTTACCTTCAATTTTCTCAAAGCAGCATTTTTCGGGATAGCCCCTTGTGCTTTGATAACGACCAATTGCAATCTGGATGAAACTAATAATGCCAACCACAAAAAAGGAAGAATGATAGGAATCCCAACAAAACATACCTTCAGCATCTCTGGGTCAGGCGGCTTTACCATGCTCATCGCCAGCGGCGAAATGCGCGAGAAGGCTGCCGCCTTTTCTACTTCCTCTGATGTTACAGGCTGAAAAATGAAGAAAATACATTGATCAGGGGTGAACAAGAAAAGGGGGATTGAGTGATTTAAAAAAAAACCCAACAACATGAAGAGTGGGGGTACTGGAGGAGAAAGACGTAGCAGGTGAGAAAATTGGACATGTCGGCACGGACCAGGTTTGAACCCGGTACCTTTGGCATGAGAGACAAACACAATGCCTCTAGGCTACATGTCCCCCAACAAAGAAAATATGTATACTTGCTTTTTGAAAAACCGAGTCCAATGACAACGGAATCTCGTTTCTTTGTGTACTGAGTACCAATAGTTTTCTGTGATAAGTATACTACAGGTTGCCACAGTTCAGTTCCAGCCAAGGTTAATGTTCGCGCTCTGTTGGTCTGCATTTCATGTCCTATCTTGATGGCGCAAGTGGCTACTTAGGCCAATACATGCCAGAAAATGCAGGTCGTAGTAAGTGCAACAGATATAATGGATGTTTTGAACCTCGTCCTGGGCATCGTCAGGAATTAAATTAAATAATATGACTTATAGGTTACTTTTTGAAAATGTAATTAAAAGACTGATATTAACTTCTGTTATCTATTGGTAGCAATATTCTGACGTCTTTTCCGAGATCATGTGTATCACTTTTCGAACCACCACACATTACAATTAGAAACATGAATTTCCATACCTTATAGTATGCGTGTTGCTACATGTCTTTTTGTGTGTTTGTATATATTGTGTATGTGTGAGTGTGTGTCGGTTGGGGGGG